CCTGCATAAGACTCCACAAATAATATGTGGGACTTAAATCCAGGCCTGCTTTGCTCCAAAGCACATATTCTTTCCAAATGCCCATCCTTTAATTTTGATGGGCTGTAGCTCCATTCTCCTCTGYAACTTTTAGATGGTTTTATAATTCTTTGACTCCCTCTCTCTCAATATTTATCTATGCACATATAAAACCCCTTGGCTGAATTTTTCTCTGAACTCATTGGATCTCTTAGACCTAGGCACTATTGGTCTTGTTCCATTGGAAAACCCACTCCTGTTGGAAATAGGACAAATATTGGGTTTTTCCATGAGGACACGCACAAGAAACAGGAGTTAAAAATCTAACAGGAGTAGTGCATAGGGCACAGTCTATAAACCCAGAGACTTGGGAGGCTGAGACAAAAGGATTGCAAGCTCAAGCTCAAGGCCAGCCTTAGCAACTCAGTAAGACCCTGTCTYAAAACARAAAATGAAAAGGACTGGGAATGGAGCTTGTGGTAAAGTACCCATGGGTTCAATCCCCAGTACAAAAACTAAACAAACAAGCAAAACAACAACAACAAAAAAAAAAAAAAAAAAAAACCTCAAAGCAAAACAAAAACCTAGCAGGAAACCAGTGATTTTCAACAATATTTGAAGAGTATGAGGTAAGAAACAAGAAGCATTTAAAACCAGATTTCTTACATTTTTCTTTAGATTTTTTAAAAAAACTAGAACATTTTTATCTTCTAGAGATTAGATGTCAGCTGGTAACCAGTTCCAAATCCCCCTTGTCTAGGGAATTGATGAGGCAGATATACCGTAAGGCTATACACACCCTTCCTATATCCCCTGAAGGCCGTAATTAATYTTGTTCTTTCTTTGCATACTCCAGATCTCCTTAATCTTCAGCATGGCCTGGAAAGGTCAAAAGAAGTCATGAATTCAAGATAAGAAAGTTTGCTGCCTCAGCAAAAAGATGCATCATTGGATGCTCTGTGGACTTTCTCTTCTKGGGTAGGGTATTTTATATGTTTTTCTCTAGACTGAACCCAGGGGCACTCTACCACTGAGCTACACCCTCAACTCTTTTAATTTTTTAAAATTTTGAGACAGGGTCTTGCTAAGTTGCTTAGGGCCTCACTAAATTGCTAAGGCTAGCTTTGAACTTGTGATCCTCCTGCTTCAGGCTCCTGAGCTGATGGGATTACAGGCATGCACCATTGTGCCTGGCTCTGGGGTGCTCTTTTTGTCAAAGATGCATACTTAGAAAAGCATGTGGCATCAGACCATGTAAGATGCAGAGTTAACTGAACAGGCTCTGGAGCTGCTTCCTCAGTGTATTCAAATCCACATGGAAGAATTCCCTTGAGGCCCTTACTTGTACCCATTCTTCTAGCCCAGGGAGACTCTAGAGATGAGGAATGATGGGATGATTCTCCAAATTTTCTATTAACTGGAAAGTGAACCTTATTTTTGGACATGGGGAGAATCTCAAATTATAATGGGAGGGTGTAACAGCAGTAAATTTATCCTGTAAATACAAGGTACAAAGGTAGTTAGGTGAAAGTGAGACTGCCAGAAAGACCTCACAGAGGAAGTGATTTACAAATTGAGTCTGAGGGAGGCATAGAAGCTTGATGGCTTGGGAGCAGATGAGATGTAGAAGGAACAGGATGTTCAGAGCAGGAAGTGCTCTAGGAATTTCAACCAACTGCCCTGGTACAAGGAGGTCTATTGCAGGAGATCAGTACTGAGAGGTGGTCAACGGCCAGTTGGTGAAGGACCATGAGTGCCCTGAGGAATTTATTCTGTAGGCGAAGGTAAGGGGTGAAAAGATTTTTAATAAGGAAAAATACTTGCATGGATTTCATGTCGGTGGAGGAGTACTGGCAGACAGTGAGTAGACATGGGAGAGCAAGTAAGAAATCATTGCCACAAWCCAGGTGAGCTATGGGCAATAAAATAATGGTAATGAAGGTAAAAATATGTTGGGGAATAAAGGAATATTTAGGGGGCAGAATAAAGTGTATTTAAGTGAACACCTAAAGAAAGGAGTAAAAGTAAATTAGGAGTGGAGGACAGTTTCCACAATTTAATTTCAGCAAGGAGGGTGGGTGAATTGGTCGAAAAGCTATCTTTAAATTGAGTGTTATCATTGATGACTTTGGTGAGTGGACCATTAATCCTTTTAAGGCTTTGACTACAGAATTAATTAAGAAAATAATKAAGGAATAATTAAGATTTCTTAGATCAATCTATTGATTTATTTTTAGAATAGATTGTTTTGGCAAATCCTATCTTTAAAAAAATGTTTGCTAGAATACATTTCCTTTTTGTAGGTACCAATATTGAAGTCAATTATCAAAGCATAGAATTCATGTTTGTATAAATAAGAGAATTATACTTTTCTTTCAAGCAAGTTTTAGATGCTCTTTTCTGAGCTTCCATAGCATTCTGGGCATTCCTTCTCAATATGTTGTATCTGCCTCTCAATATGTTGCAATTATGCACTAACTTGCCATGGAGGGTTGATGGGTGGGACAAGGATCTTGCCTTATTCTCACTGGTACACTTGATACCTGAAACACAATAGGTACTCAAGAAATGAATCTTGCCTGGCATGGTAGCACACACCTCTAATTCTAGTGGCTTGGGAGGCTGAAGCAGGAGGATTGCAGGTTCAAAGCCAGTCTCAACAATGTAGCAAGGCCCTAATCAATGATGTGAGACATAATAAAGAGTAAAAAGGGCTGGGGATGTGGCTCAGTAGTTAAGTGCCCCTTGGTTCAATCCCTAGTGAGTGAGAGAGAGAGAGAGAGAGAGAGAGATAGAAAGAAAGAAAGAAATGAATCTAAATGAATCTGAATGGAATTGAAGCTGCAAAAATAAAAGTCATTAGTCAGGTGCGATGGTGCATGCCTGTGATCCCAGTGGCTCSGGAGGCTAAGKCAGGATCTTGAGTTCAAAGCCAGCTTCAGCAAAAGAAGTGAGGTGCTAAGCAATTCAGTGAGACCCTGTCTTTAAATAAAATATAAATTAGGGCTGTGGATGGGGATGTGGCTCAGGAGTTGAGTGCCCTTGAGTTCAACCTGTTATGCTCCCTCCCTCCAAAAAAGTCATGTCTAACAGATATAATTTGAAGTGCTCTTTATCTAGAATGGCCTGCAGAACTGAAACTAATTCCACACAGAAAACTAAGGGGTTGCTCCTGTTAACTCAGCYCAGTCTTAACAGTAACATTAAGTCTTACGTATTGGTGACCATTTTCACACCAAAGAGAGTCAATTCCAGATCTSAAATACAATACATATAGAGTTAGCCCATCATCAAGAGCTTTGGAAGCAGTATTTTCTCACCTCTAAAATTCTTTTTTTGTTTGTTTTGTGGTGCTGTGGATTGAATCCAGGGTATTGTGCACTCGAGGCAAGCACTCTACGAACTGAGCTATATCCCCAGCTCCTTCACCTCTAAGATTTTTATTCAAGAATTATATTAAGAGAATTACTGGCACTCATATATATTGTCAAATTAGCCATGCCAGCTATAAAATGTTTTCTCTTTTAAGCTGAATTCCAGAAGCTTCATTTTATTTTCTCTAACTAAGGGATATTGTTAGGAAAAGCTGGGCTTGCAGGTATAGGGGTGGAGGGAGTGAATGTTTCATTTTTGGTTCTTCTGAGTTGAATTAAATATGTTAAGTTAATAATCTTTGTTATTATGGGATGTGTTAATATGCTTTTTTTTCTTTTACAGATTATGGTTGCTAGGAATTCATGATTTAAGAATTGTGAAGGTCAAGAATGTGAAATTTTAACTAATACCTGAAATGATAGCCTTGAAGATAAGAGTCCCTCATCTGCGCACTCCTTYTTTTGGAACAAGCTAGTGCAAGGGCTACTGCTGAGAGGCAGGCGGCTCAGCTGCAGCAGTCTGGAACTCATTATGAGTTTCGACACTGGCTCTTCAGTGTCTACAAGGCTCTGGAGATCTAAATTTAGGTCTACTTAATGGAATGGCTTTGCTTTAAAAAAAATCTTCCCCAAAATGCATTTAATCTTACACATTTGGAACAATGAAACTGTGTGTCCGTGATCGTTTTTTACCAAGGAGAGACAAGAAGAAGGACGGAGTTACTTAGTGATGACTTAATTTTAAATGTTTTACAATGACATAAAATACTTGTGACTTTCAATGACAACTTATAAAAATCAAAATATGAATGGGTCATGAATAAGTAGGTGTTAATAATAACAATATACTTTTGTGAACAACAGTGTTTCATAAAAGAGAGTTAAATATTAGGGATTAGGCAGATGCAGAACTTTAAGACCATGAATATTTCACATTATTTTTAATTTCCTGCTGTACTGGGCAGATTGGTATCCCCACAAATTCATGTGTACCCAAAACCTAAAAATATGATCTTCTATTTTTATTTTTTTATTTTTTGGTACCAGGGATTGAACCCAGGGACACTTAACCACTGAGTATATCTCCAGCACCTCCCCCTTTTTAAACATTAAAAATTTTTTTTTTAGTTGTAGATGGACACAATACCTATATTTTATTTATTTATGTGGTGCTGAGAATCAAACCCAGTGCCCCACACATGCGAGGCAAGTGCTGTGCCACTGAACCACAACCTCTGCAGCCCTTTTTATTTTTTATTTATTTATTTTTTAGTCATTCAAAATTTTAATGCATGCCATGAGAAATGAACTTTTAAATCAACTTAATTTTATGGAAAATGAAACAGCAAATAAATTAGACCCCATGTTAAAACAGGAGGTCAGCTAACATCYGAACTTAAGGATATAATGGGCACAGCCAGCCATCAATTCTACAGTTTTCTTCTAAAGGGTGAAGTCTTTTGAACAGAACTTTGCTATGAGCAGTCCAGAGATCAACAGCATTTGGAAATGTTTAACAGGGATGGTGATCAGGGACTCGTTTCCTTGGTGCTGCTTTGATGATGTTGTTCACACGCAGAATCACCTCTGCTGCTTTAGCTGCACTCAGAAATACAAGTACGCTTCACGTACTTGCATGTCATCCTTGCACAGGGGCCATTCGAATCTTCTCTGAATTGTTCCAATTTTGGAATATGTGCTGCTGAAGTGAGCGCTTATTTTTTATTTTGAGTCAGGGTCTTGCTAAACTGCTTAGAGTCTTGCTAAGTTGCTGAGGCTGGCTTTGAACTTGTGATCCTCCTGCCTCAGCCTCCTGAGTTGCTGGGATTACAGGTGTGTGCCATTGTGTCTGGCTAAAATATTTTCTAATGTGGAAATGAGGTCTATGCAGGTATCATCGGTAAGATGAGGTCACACTGGATTTGGCTAGGTCTACACACCATGTAGACACAGACACGGAAAAGAAGAAACACAGTGGTGTGAAGACAGAGGCAGAGACCAAGGAATGGCAAGGACCAGTAGGTGCTAAGAAGAGGCAAGGAAGCATTTGTCCCTAGAACCCACAGAGGGAGCAGGGTCCTGCTGACACCCTGATTTCAAGTTCCCAGCCTTCAGCCCTGTGAGATGGCAAGTTTCTGTCATTTCAAGCCGCTTAGTTTGTGATAATTTTTTGTTAACGGCAGCCATAGAAAATGAATATACCTGTCTGGGAGGTGGCACACAACTGTGGTCTCTGCTACTCGGAGGCCAAGGCAAGAGGATTCTAAGTTCATGGCCAGCCTGGGCAACTTAGTAAGGCCCTATCTCAAATAAAAAAAATATAAAGGAATGTAGCTTGGTGGTACAGCACCCATGGGTTCAATCCTCAGTACTTAAGTGGGTGGAGGGAGAAAGGAAGGAAGAAAGAAGATGAACACTCCCTTCTCCTCTACTTCTGGGAATACATCCTTTATGAAATCTTTCCTCAACAAATCTGGCCATTACAACCTCTCTTTCTACTCACAGCAAGCAGACTTCTTACACTCACTTGATTGCTTCCTTATTTCTTCAATGCCACGTCCCATTGGCCACTTCCCTTYCCACTCCCAAGCTGTTTAGTCAACTCTGGCTTCTTGACATTCCCTTATTCCCTAGTTCCCCACCTCTGTACCCTTGGTCATGCTACTCTTTCTGCCTGGAATAGTCTCTTCTGTCTCTACCTGAAAAATTCTAGCCAGCCTTCAACACTTAGACCATATGGTACTGATTCTATGAAACAGTTTTTTATTTCCTATCAGAATTAATTTTTCCCTTATTTATRTATTATTTAAAATATTTTTTAGTTACTKATGGACCTTTACTTTWTTTATTTATATGCAGTGCTGAAAATTGAACCCAGAGCCTCACACGTGATAGGTGAACACTCTACCACTGAGCTACAACTGCARCCCTTATATATTGTTTTATATATATAATACCACATTTTGTTACTGTTACTATTTGAACTCATAAGCTTAAGGACAAGGGCTACCTTATCTATTATCTTAGTAATTTCCAAGCATACATGTTGATTTTTCTTAATTGCTATGGTATAATGAGAAGTCCTACACTAAATATTCTTTGGCATCAAATGAGGCCTGTTACTGAGTGTTTCATATGTGCATGTATTAACCTCCCAGTGACATTTGAGCTCTTCAGCACACAGCTTGCACTAAGAAAGCATTCAGTGAGCTGGCTCTGAAATGACACCCTCAAAGAATGGAGCTCTTAAGGGCTTTTGGTTGACAAAGACAAAAGTCCCAAGAACTTAATGAAAATAATGTTTTTCTAAAGAAAGTGTTCAATAAACCAATAATTAATTTTCTTGATTTTTATAATGAGATRCTACTTGGAAAAATATAAACGTTATTCCAAGTCTCAGTTATTTTAGGTGTAGTTGGGAATCAATGTCAAGTATGAATAGTTTAAAGGTCAGCCAGAGATTTGGGCAGAGTTTGGGGCTCCTCTGTCTGCCCCTCCCCTTTCTAGGATTTTCTTCCTCATGCTGCAGATCTCCTGAATGCTGGCCTCTGTGGGTTTGACAGAAACTGTRATATCTGAAAGCTTTAGCTGCCTTATATGTTACCAGACAGGACACACCCTCAAGAAAGCCATACATGACTGGGAAAGTCAGCCACTGCCATTCCTTTCTTGCAAGAGTAGACCCTACTTCAATTCTGCTTTTTAACATGTTTTAGTAGTGTTATATTTTGCCCAGTATTTATAGTTACCTGTGGAAAAGTTGGTTCAATAGGACGTACTTGGTTATTACAGAAAGCAGGAAWTGCCTTCTTTAAATAGTTTGTCATTTTAAAAAAATATTTATTTTTTAGTTGTAGTTGGACACAGTACCTTAATTTTATTTATTTTAATGTGGTGCTGAGGATGGAACCCAGGGCCACACGCATGCTAGGCCAATGCTCTACYGCTGAGCCACAACCCCAGCCCCTAAAGAGTTTGTCATTTTAAAAATAAAAATCGTTCCTTAATACAAAGAACTAGAAAGAGTATTAAAAGTCAAAGTCACAGACAGCTATAAGCAGAGGGGAACTGATTTAAACTACTGCTCAGAAGGCTTCAACTTAAATTTTAAAAACATGACATTACGGAGCTAGGGATGTGGCTCAAGCGGTAGCGTGCTCGCCTGGCATGCGTGCGGCCCGGGTTCGATCCTCAGCACCACATACAAAAAAAGATGTTGTGTCCGCCGAAAACTAAAAAAATAAATATTAAAAAAAAATTCTCTCTCTCTCTCTTAAAAAAAAAACACAAAACATGACATTATTTTTATCTAGTACATTAGAATGTCATTACAGATGAAGTAGGTACTGGGTCCCTGAACTCGCACACAAAAAAGTGAAGCATCATGGACACACAACCAGAGGCCTCCCACTCTGAACATGCTAAAGCCTCATGCAACCTGTATGATGACWGTGTAAGGGACAGGGTCACGGGGACACGCTGCATAGTAGAACAAAAATATCTTTCCAAAGTCTCATTTCCTCTGACTGCCACCCCAATCTCTCCTCCTCTCAGGTCTCCCTCTTCCSGTTCTTTCCAGTCTCCTTGCTCTCTTCTCTTTTCTTTTCTAAAGACAAAGTTCATAACTGCTCCAAATCTGCCAGYTGTATCCATCTCTCTGATCCTCATGACAAAGGCAAACTAGCCAAACCGTGCCAGTGCAGGAGCCAGCACTGTGATGTGGAGCAYGATAGTAAACACTTAAAATTTGATGGTTTTCTCCTGACATATTTATGTGCTCATATACATGTGAAATAACCTAGGAAGGGAAGGCATGTGTTTCACTATGGCATTCTGAGTTCCATGTGCAAAGTGCTTCATTTACACACATGATTTCTAATAGTTTCATTTTTCGGATGAAGAACCACTTTCAGTCTCTTTACACCTCTGGGGTATCTCTAACTTAGCAGTGTAAACTGAAAACATGAAAAACATGTCTTGGAGTCTTGGGGGAGGGAGGATTGGGTTGTGTTGTTCAGGAGGGAAGTTCTGGGGTCTGGGCTGCTTGAGGGAAGGAATTTAGAGAGTCCCACTCAATAGGCAGGCTCCAGGGATGGAAGAGGTGCCGGTCTTCACCTTCCTCTCTTCCATCCCCCTTCTCCTTTTGAGGTGGTCTCATGGCTTCCCAACTGTTCCTCAAACACTCCAAGCTCATTTTTAAAAACAGACACAYTCTAAATAATGGCTCAGTTAATTTATTTCCTAACGTTAATTAAAGCAGATACTTTGGAAGTCTCATAGGCAATTTTAGTCTTAAAAACACTGGGTAACACCCTTTCAAATAGTAAACTACTTCTCTCAGTTTACCCATAAGCTAAAAAAGTACAAGCTTCTAAATTATCAAACATCTTGTCAATGTGGGGTAAACTGGTCCAAAAAAAAGGGAAACAATTRTCCCTACACCTATAAAAGACAACTTTTAAAGTTATGACTTGAATACAATTTAATGAATTGTATTAAACAAGCTGTTTCATTGTGTGATAGCCTTTAAGATCTGAATTTCCTAGTATAAAGGTCCTGAATAGCTCATTTTTAGCCAGTATCATACATTGGTCTRAGAGTATATGTAAGAATACTAGTTAGGAAACATATTTTTGGTAGATTACAAAAAGGCCATGCATGGCTACAAAAATTTCCATTTAATCTGTGTTTCAAACTCCATATATTTAGAAGCTATCATCACAATTTCATGTTGATAACTTTAAGTTAGGCAAAAATCAAGTTAAAACTGTCTTTCTATACACTTAAGTGTTTTAGAAAAAGTGATTTGCAAAAGAAAATCCATTTGAAATTCTAAATTTGATTTTTAAATGATTATGATTCCTGGTTTTAAGACAGTTTCAAGGAATGGAAAGGCATGAGAAACAGAAGAAAGAAAGAAAGAAGGAAGGAAGGAAAGAAAGGAAGGAAGGAGAGAAGGAGACCGGGGAAGGAGTGATTTACATCACTGACCAAGTTGGTGGCAGTCAGAAAAGCATAGGAGCAAGAAACACCCCAGGGACAGCACAGCTGCACACCAGGTCAGACAGAGAGTGCAGAGTCCTGGGAAAGCTTCAGTTTTYATAAATTCAATTCTGCTTACTAATGAGACAGAAGCAGCTGAGATGCATGAAAATTCACACATAACTCAAACCCTGCTATATTTCAAACTTCTACATTTAAAGTACTTTAAACTTTACCTTAGATGTTGGTAGAAACTAACAGGTGGCCAGGCTGACAATTTTTAAATAGCTGTCTGTGGGATTATCCTCCCATAGATGGAACGCTGAACAAGAGGGTAGGGAGGGAAGGAGAAAGGAAGCYGAGGTTGGCTGAGTGCTAACTACGAGTCAAGCACGGTGTCCTCATGGCACATGTATTCTTCCACTACCACCACACACTTAGAAGACAGGTACCGTCATCACGTCCATTACACAGATGGGAAAACCAAAGCGCAGAGGTGGGCAATTTTCTCAGTAAGAGACTGAGCTAGGAATTGAACCCAAACAGTTTATGGAACTTGAATATATAATCATTGTGTCACTGGCATTTTCCAAAATAACCCCAAACAACCAACTTGAGACGATAAGGGGGCTGAAGGTATACTGTACTCTCACACCTGGMTGCTGCCTGGGAAATCAGTTAAGATACAGCAGAAGCAGCCTTGAATCTTCAGTGTTTGTCTTCGCCACTTACC